AGAACGAAGGCTCTTACTTCGGTTGTTGTCTATCGATTGCTGGGCTGGGGTCCGAAGAACGATGAACACGTTCGGTTGGATACACTTGTTTATATGGCGAAGAGCCGGCCCCAATAGCGTGCGTGTTGTGTTAATCTATCCTTCCCCTTAACCACTTTCTCACATGTGATGCGCAATATGATGATATTCATGATATTACTTTTTACCTTTTATATTTAATTATGTAATGTTTACTTATGGGTATGAGGATTTGAGTTGTAATTTTAATGTATTCGTCCAAGCAGCTCACAAGTTACACAGCTCAACCACAAACAGGAAAAGCACCAGACGCGTTTCGCCCTATTGGGGCCCGTCAGTGGTGCGCATTCCCTCGGCCCCGTACTGGGGATCGAACCCATGACCGCTAGAGGCTGACACCAACTAGTCAGCACCTTAAGCCACTAAGTAATGGGAGACGGTGGTTGGGCTACACAATTTGCAATTTGCGATATAGCACGACCTATCTTCCGCTCCCACGCAGGTTACTGATGACAGTGGCTAGCCTTCGAGGTCAGGACTTCCTCTCACTAGACGCTATGTTCATAGTTTTGAAACTAGGAGGAGCTACATGTAATGTTTGGATCTCGCTTTTCCAACATATCTTCTTGTATTGGGGTGCATTAGAAGTAGTGTGTTTCTTACCTTCAGCTAGCGTGTACTGATAATGATCATGATGATGCTTTATCGAAGACTATACAAAAAAGTTGAAGGCAATAGCCATTGGAAAATCAATGCAAGTTGGTTGTTTTCATGTCTAGTTGGTAGACAGCAGATGTTGCGCATGGGTGACTATTTCACTAAAATGAAAGCAGTTACCAGTGGAGTAATTCAATTGAGTGCTTTTGACCACTTCTGCTTCTCACCTATGTAAACGATGTACGAGGGTAGAGCAATAAGTTTCCGGAGATGCAGTACACAGAGTAGATGCAGATGCGCTGGCAAGAAAATGTGCTGTAGTCCATTTTGAATATTGTTCAGTAATTTCAACTCACAGAACCCTATATTAGCAGCCCAGCACAGCTCACAAGTGATAAGGGTCTCTATAATCTGACTGTAAGTATGAAACACGGTCGATGTCAATGGAGGGCGATGGTTTTCTATGAGTACAAATGTGGTTTAAAACAGCACTAGAGTGTTGAGCGATTGCGTGCTGCGTTTGGTGATGATGCGTCTTCAAGAACAAGCACGTCTGAGTGGTTTGCGGAATTCATGTGTGGTAGGCGGTCGCTGGATGATGAGGCACGGTGTGGTCGACCTGTGCAGACCATCACCGCGAAGAACAGTACTGCTGTGTAAGCAGTGCTGGAGGAGGACGCGCGGGTGAATGTCGTAAAGCTGAGGAAAGCCATGGGAATCAATCCGCACCACTCTACATGAGAGCCTCGGTCTCAGAAAGCTTTGTGCACGCTGGGTACCCCAACAACTCAGTGAGGACCAGAAAGCAGCTCGGGCGAATTAGTGTCGTACTATGCTTGCCAGGTTTGATGGTGGAAGTTCCAATGGTGTTTGGGAGATCCGCAGTGGTGATGAGACCTGGGTGCACAGTTTCAACCCGGAAACCAAGCAACAATCGTCTCAGTAGACGGCCGCTGGTGAGACGCCGCCTCAAAAATTTCGGCCTGAGTGCAGTGTGGCCAAGCAGATGGTGGCTGTGTTCGTGGCCAAGACTAGTCATGCGGCTACTGTACTACTCGTACGGCAAAGCACAGTCACCGAAGACTGGTATACCACCCACTGTCTGCCACAAGTGCTGGAAGCTTTAGCCAGACGTCGTCCAAGGACTCGAGCACGAGGGATCTTGCCGCACCATGGCAACGCACATGCACACAGGTCCCATGTACTCGTAGATTTGCTGGCTAGAGAACGTATCCAGAAAGTTGGTCACTCACCCTACAGTCCAGATCTGGCACCATGTGACTTTTCGTGTTCCCAAATGTCAAGCGCATGATACATAAAATCCGCTACGAGTCTCCAGAAGCTGCAGTAGAGGCTTTTGTTAAGATACTTGAAGGATTACCCGCTTCGGCATAGTCTAGCTGCTTTTCCAAATGGTTCGAGCGCATGGAACTGTGCATGAACGCTGGTGGAGAGTACTTCGATGAAATTTTATGCTTAGTTTGTTGTAAAAAACAGAACTTTTTGTGTATCCGGAAACTTAGTGCTCTAAGCTCGTATTACAGAAAATAAGACATGGTGCTACTTTCTGTTTGCTGATGTTATTAAAGTATTCTGCTCACAAATAAGTGTAAATACCCAAGAAGCCGTACGTTTCATTCAGGATGGCCTATCTGAATTTGAATCCTGGTGTCTCCTGCGGAAGATGCCATTTACCGTCAACTAGTGTAATATGCTGTAATAAAAATGCCAAGTATCACAAAACAGTTTATTGCGGAAGGGATCGTATATCACGCAATACAGAGCAGTTCGCGAATTTTATGCGCGATATTGCAAGTTCCCAAGGTCATGAAGACCATCGGATATATTGACACCAAATCTCGCGCTTGGTTATAAGAAACGTGTATTACTAAGTATGGGATAATGCTTGTCGGTTCAATCGAATCTGCGAAAGTCGGATAAGCATGCTCTTGATAGGATCCAGCGACGCTTTGTGAAAAAGCTACGCGGTTGCGTCAAACGTGGACTTGACTTGACTTCGGAGAATGAAGCTGCATCCGCGCTTTCTTCTTAGAATCATAAACCACCAAGCGCACAGTGCTGGTAACGGTGTTTACATGTCTTTGAACAATAGCTACCCGATACGCAAAGGCCACGATTCAGAAACTCCTCACGAAAGTCAGAGAACCTTATTTTCTAACCTACTACTCTAAGATCAGGAACAGTTTTCTAAGAGATACCAGAACATGCAGTCCAGTGCATGGGTTCAAGCATGTGATTAATATGCGTTTAACGGTACAAAACGCAGCTAATATGTTTGAGACACATCATGACCTCTTGATAACGCATTCGACAACGATATCGATGGCACCGAACAAAAATCACGAGTGCACGCATGTGCCCAGGCTAAATGAACACCTGAATGTCACAAGTTGGCACACAAATCTCTTCAATTCACTTCCTTTTCCGGCCCGAACATCCGCGATGTGTTTGTGAAGAACACTGGTTCAGCAACAGATCGAAAAATTAGCACAGAATTCGGGTCACTTCGTGTCCCTCACGTGAATACGAAAGATGTGCTCATATTCCCCTTAGTCCATCAAGCGATAGCAAGAAATGATAGCAATATTTCGATTTCTCGAGTATGTGCACAGCTTCTCGCATCATCATCATTATCATCATCATCAGTACACTTCAGTTTGATAGTGGGAAACACACATGAGCTAATGTGTCGCAATGCAAAAAAGACAAGATGCTAAACATTGCAGACTACAAAAACTAAAAGAAAAACAAGTAACATAACGCTAAGTAGCATAATGTGTAACGCCGAGAAGTATACAATGTATTCACCGATATCTGTCCCAAGCACCGAATGAGTAATTCGAAACTCAAACTCTTATTGTATGGTAACACACCATTTGGCGGTTAAATGAAATGTCTGCTGGACTTGGACCATGCACGTTGGTTAGGCCATGTTCCCCAGATACCAGATAACCGGCTGCATCTTCGTGAATAGGTTACGAAGACCGAACTTAATTAGATGAAACTTCGAGGCAACCAGTCAGCTACTTGACATAGACATATGAAGAAGCTGATGGAAATGATGAATTGGGTTGTTGCTTGCTATCTTGTAAGGCCAGTGTGCTCGAGATCGGTCACATCCGTGATTAGAAACACAATCGAACATAACGCGGCGATGAAGTTAGCGATCCCAAGGAATTAAACTTCTTATTTCTGACCATTTATTCCGCCTAGCGATTCTAGTTTTTATTCACACATCTTGAGGTACACTTGATATTATAGTTAAAGTGGCCATGAAGTTCTCGGTAACAGATCCACCAACACCCGATGAGCAACCGAGGTGGATCGAACGGCTTTTAATGAGGCCTGCAGTTCCAAAACAAGTTAGATAACAAGAAATAGATGAGACAACAGCAGCAGTAAATGATAAAATCGAGCAGATTGGCCTACCAGCCGCTATTTCCGGTATTTGGTGTACTAGTGTGTGTGTATGTGGTCGAGCTAATGTAAGGTTAAATGTCCCACATTGATTTTCTCCGGCAGTAGGCAGCAATAGTCAGCAAGTGACGTGCTTATGATCCTGAATGCTAAAAAGAATCCCGGCTACGAAAAGTTATCGAATGCACTGGGATAGCATAGGGGCGCCAGAGCCAAATCGATACTGAAAGACGAGCAGTAAAGACGAACAATGAGTAAAGAGGACACAAATGGTAGATAAAAATATGGGGACATGCATCGGTAGTAGGGAGGTACACCGTACCGCGCTTTGTTGCTACGAAAACGTCACAGTGCGCTTTGGATAGAGATACTAAGAGGTCGATCGCAAATACGTAGATTCACACTGGGTGACCTTCGAAATACAAGGTAGGCACCTTACTATAACCAGCTAGAGGTCGACAGACGAAAAGATATCTTTTTCCCATGTGTTCGCTGAGTACAATAGATGTGGTAAGCAAAAATGTTGCTGCCTGGGAAAGAGGTCACCTGTGAAAACTTAAAAATGGGTGATCTGAGGTAAAGGAAATAATGCAAGGACACACTGAGGCTCGTGAACATTTCATTGGTAACAGAGCGCTTAGGAGCATGGGTCCTTAACCACGACACATGCCCTTTGGCATAAGGATGTTCGCATCAAAAAGTCACACAAATTAAACCAAATGTTACCGACCAAATATATTTGAGAGTAACTAGTGTCATCCGATGAGAAATACATGATTTGAATGAGGCTAGGCAGTATGAAACGGCTGCTATAGCTAAACCTGACGAAGTTTCAGGGAAAAGGATTAACCCACTAAGAGCCGAGGTATTATTCATATGAGATATACCTGAAAATGGGATCCGCCTTGGAAACTACGCCAATTTCTATTTCGGTTGCTTTGAACTCCATTGAATGGATGTGAGACAAACATTTCAAAGCAATCTCGATGGCTTCCTCCAAGTTATAATTTTCTTTTTTCCGTAACTTGGGTGGCGGGAGTAAAAGTTATAGATAAGGATTAGATAAATAAACAGATAGGTGTATATATAAATAAGCTATTGCAAACCGCATACAAACGGGTAACTGAAGGGGAAAGTGGCACTACTGTTACATTGGGAACGAGTAAAGATGTGAGAGAAACAACGAATGAGCGACCAATAGCAAATACAGATGACCATCTTGCTCACCAAAAAATTACCAAAAGTAAAACAGAGAGCTGAGCGAAAATGAGATCAAGAAAAAGTGAAAAATAACAGTACGACCGGAAACAATTTGAACACTGCGTTGCGTTGCACGGGCAATAAAAACTAATAGGGTGGAATACTATTGACGTTAGGGAGCATCCCGCAATGAGTGGGAAAACAGAGAAGACCCCAAATCTTCAAAATTCGCCCAATCAGCCACCGACTCCCAGTCTGACAGCCAAACATCGCTCTTTTGCGACCGACATTACTACTAACCGCTTTTGAGCAAGTGGTCTAACACAAGTGAAGTTAGTAACTTGCGCTTGTTGTCAAGATTATGTAGATGAGTAACTATAAAATCCGATCTAAAAACAACCAGGGATGTGTTCACCGTGATTCAAAGTAAAAGCAATTCGAATGGCGTGGATCCCTATGAACACAGGATTTACATCAAGCAGTGAGCAAAAACTTGCCCACAGTGAAGCATTTATAGTGTTGTGATGATCAAATGGTCTTGGAGTTCAACTAGGTCATTTTACATACTAAACGTAAATGAAGGAATAGTTTATTCTAGAGCTACATGAGAAGAAAAATAAAACAGTGTAGTAGAAACTATGAGTGGTATGAAGAAGTGGGATGTTTGCATGCCGTCCTGTATTTCGTAACGTAGTGATCGCCTAATCGAAATCAGTACTACTTTTGAAAGCTAAGTAAGCTGCTCCAGATGGGAAGAGATAAGGATGCCGAACAAGAGTTCAGTGAATGGCCATTTTTAGAGATCAATGAAACAGATCAAATGGTAGCCTAGAAGCTGCTGGAAATGTGCACAGAGGGACCCAGAGTATATGAACCAGTGGTGATGAATGGTAAAATGAGTTTCATCGATTATCGGAATAGGGGAAACGGTGTACAATAGTTTCGGGATTAAAATGTTGACTCAAGAAAACGAACCTTAGATGCCAGTGGAAACGAAAGAGTCCCATGGTCAACAGCTTTGTATAAGTCATGACACCATATGTTGTATCGACAACTGCGATCTAGTGTGTGCTAATAAAAGCAATGCATCCTAATCTTCATTCTGTAATGAAACTCGATAACAGTTGCAGAACTCAGTCCTTCAGGGACAAGCATTTATTCAGCAAAGAAAGATCGGCCAGAATTACAGTACGTTTGGCAAGTCAAAATCCTCAATAAAAGTTACGTGTTCACGTCCATAACTAAAGACCCTTCTGATGCGATGAGATGTTTCCTTTGACTCAGTTAAACAAACGATGATTAGCTCACATGAATGTCGACTGATCCATGTACAGCAATCAGATCAGTTACACCCGACTCCCAATGGCTACCTCGCTAGCTCGGTTGGCCCACCGGTTTACTCTGGTATGACCCTCTCATGACATCCTCCTTTTTTCGTGTCCTTGTGCCTACATGTTGCTATACACCTCGTACACTTTGCCACTCCGTGCCGTCTTCGCTGTATCTGCGGTTGTGATCTCCTTGCCACAAGCCATCGGTTGCTCCACTCCCCGTACACCTAGTTGTTTCCGGTGTTGTCCCAAATGCACTAGATTTCTTTGGAGCGTTTTCCCTCAACATATATTTCTTATGACCTTCGCAGTCACCATACCTTTTTTCCACCGCTCTTGATCATTGAGTGCTGCTTGAACCCACACTTCCTCCCCCACTGTTAGCTCAGGTAGCATCCGTGCACCGCGGTCGTAGTACAGTTTCAAGATGGTCATACGTCACCTCAGATTGTTTTCTAACCTCTTATGCTGTGGCGAAATTGGGCGCAAAAGTGTGGCAGATACCGGCATTAGCGTTCTAGTCCTTCGACTGTATAGGCGCTGTACTAGGCTCAAGCCGATGTCCGTTGCGATTCTCCAGTACCATGAGATGCGGGTCTTCGCCAGTAGCGCTAGCCTTTAATAACAGTCGTTCGGCCTGCTTCATTGCCGACTCTGCTCTTACACAAGACTGGCGGTGATATGGGCTGATATGCTGGTGCATGGATTAACACTTAGTTACGAACGCCTGGGACGCAGCACTAGTAAACTGAGGACCATTGTTGGTGACCAGCTCTTCCGCCATTTGTACCGCACGAATTGACATCTGAGGTTTTTGATTATTGATTCTATTGTCGTAGTGGTGAGCAAATCGATTACAAAATAACCACTATAGTAATCCACCGTGGTGGAGAATTGTCCCGCAAGACCGCGAAACATCCATGCTTTGACAGGCTCCAAGCGAAACAGGTCTGACAGTTCCGCCCAGAAGTCACAAAACAGACCACCTACTGCCTGTCGGTCATGCAGAGAGTGGCATTTCGCCCGATTCTGTTCATGTAAGAAGCATATTTGCCAGAAGTGCCATAAGCGAGGCCACGAGGAAGAACTATGCAAGCAATCTTGACCACTGAACATGAAACCGTTCCGCCCGAAGGTCCAGAATACCGTTGCAGACTTCCTGTCAGTCGTTGCTGCTTTCCAGAGTGAGTTCAAACCCCGCAGAGGTTACCTTACGGTAGTTAACAACGGGATTCATTCTAGATCTAAGTTTGACATGTCCTCGGATATAACTATCATTGTCAAGAGCACTTGGAACCACATCAAGAGTCCGGCGGTTGCCACTTTTGACAAAGTGGTTAACAACCCAATTAGCGGAGTGCTGAATCTGGTTGGAGAAATCACCTGTAAAATCGCATTTAACGGGGTAGAAAAGACTGGAACATGCTAGCTGACAGACCGAACGAACCTAAACCATCTTGGGATCGACCGGATCGAGAGACAAGGACTCTTTGATATCCCCTTGAACCAGATTTGCAACCGTTATACGCCGAAGCCTCAAACACCGAACGGAGTGTCCCCAGCAGAAGCGAAAAGCAAAAGCTCCGCAAGCCATTCCATACACTTCGACCAGCTCCTGAGTCCTCATACGGCGGAAGGAACCGGAAAATGGAGCAGAAATTCAATCAGTGGCATATAGCAAGGCAACCCTCAGAGATTTAGTGCTCGCACGTGACTATCGGAAAAGCCATGCAGCATGGACTCCAGGTGAGAGCAAACAAAAATATGGAGGCGTCACTTACGATGTGCTCATTGGATTGCAAACCTGCGTCCACCATGCAAATCAGTTAGGTCAAACGCTGTGCCGACCAGAACTAAGGAAGCAAACCAAGCTGCATTTCGACCTCCTCGTGAATCACTTCAACTTACCGAAACCAGACAGGGATGGTTACAGTCAATCAATGGATGCATCCGAAAATCCAGTGCCAACTCCAAAAAGACTTCAAAACAGAAGACGGACAGAATGAGAACGATATCTACAAGACTGCAAGTCATCCGACACCGCAGCCACAATCTCAAGAGGGGAGATGATAGGGAGAGCAAAATCTCCCAGGAAAACTCAGTAATTCAATGGGAAAACCATTAGAATCAGTGACATACAAAAAACATCAAGACGTTACAGGAATGTTCGCATCAGTAACATTCAGGTCTACACAACACAGGTACCTACCTTCACAATGGCTAGCGGAACTGATCTACAAGTCAAGACAGCTGACCTAGCTGTTCCGATCTGTGAACCATCCTTGGTTGACTTATAAAAATGTCCGTTGATTTCACACTACTTGTATCCGTTTCGGTAGCTGGTTCCCCAACACGCTTTTGCCTCCAAGCATTGACTTCCGATACGCGGCTGGAGTTCGGAGCTGGTAGGGAACGAATTCGGTTCAACTGGAATCGCAGACAGACGTAGATCATAACAGTAAACTGAAACATCTCCCGAAAAAGGGGCAATCGCTGCTGATGTCAAAGGAATAGCTTTTCGAAGTACCGTCTTACTTGAACAGCATGTCGTTTTTGTGCCAAATAGATCTTGTGATTGAGACGAAGCCTGAGTTCTGCATTCCGGAAGGCCACGCAACATGGTGGCAGAAAAAAAATGTTGAGTAGAAAGTAGCAACCTGACTTTGATTTGCATCAGTCGATCTCAATGTTAAATCCACCAGAGAGAATGGAGGGTTCGCTTACAGAAAACTGCAGACTGTAGAAAGTGAAATTGGTGAATATCGTCACTAAAGCAGTAGAACGACCAAGTGATAGAATAACAACTGACGATGTTCCGACGCACTGCTGGCGGCGAAGCAATGCGCGTAATGGAGACAGACAAATTCGGTAGTTGTCAAGAGCCTAACCTGTGCGCAGTTATAAAGGCGAATCGGTGGGCTTAGTAAAGGAAGAACAAATGAAAGCTATCAACGATATTTATTCATTGGCCAAAATGATCTCTCTGGTGGATCGACTGGCAGCTACATCACCCAGTGATGACCGCAACTCTTACTAGTGTTTACGCGATTCGCTGGCAAAAGATCGAATTGTACTGGGTATCCAGGACGAAATAACCGGAAAACTGCCGTAAGAAAGAATTAACGATGGACTGATGCATCAACACTTACAATAGAGAAACAGCGAATACGCCCAGTATCACCAGATAAAGCATGACACTGAGTCATTTACCCGAGCAAGTGAACCAGACCGCCAGTATGGCGGTCGCAGCGGCTTTCTATAACAGGAAAGTTGTCCAAACTGGGGAAGATGTGCATACTGTGTTCGAAGAAAAAGCACCGCGTGATACTGTTGATTGAAGCCATCCACTCAACTGAAATAGATCACCCTTTAATCAGGAGCGCCCCGTCAACAACGTAAAGCATCAGGGAGAAAAAGGAGTGGTTACGCAAAACCAATTGTCGAAAAGCAATCAGTACTCTTCCCGCTGGACACAGCAGCCATTGTCAGCATT